TGCCCAGTGGTCGCCAGATTACATAACTTGCACTCGGACGTTGACCTTTTGCTTTTATGCTCATTATTCACATCATCATACACTTCGCTGAGGCTATTATGATTTTGTCAAAAAGTGTGTTACGCTCTGCAATAGGCATTGCCAAAGCGTTTATTTACTTATATTAAATATAAAGCTGACTTTATATATGTTCATGCGTGATCCTGTATGTTTTTCTTTTTGTTCTTATCCGATCCTATCTTGGATCTTAAGACATTTTCTTTCCTTGCATATATTGACGAGATTATGTAAATATCGGTTCTACTTGATTCAAATATTTAATTTTCATTTCAAGATATATTTGTTAAATATGAAAAAACTTGAGCTAAGATATTTTGCTATGTATTTCATTCCAATTGAGCTAATTTTAAGAGCGAGCTAGCCTAAATTTTATACACTTATAATATCTAGATTTTTTCCCTCAAAGAAATCGATAGTATTAAACTAAGCCCAAACAGACCAAGTTATAGCTTCAAACAAGTTTAAATTAATCGTGATATTCTTATTACCAAATGAAGTAAAAAAATTATTGTCTTTAGCTTGGACATTTTTCTTTCAATGTATGTGTATATAGAAAGTCAAGTTCTTTCCTAAAAGAGTTAATTAGCTTCCGTCTTACATATGTGATACGAATGAAGGATATTTTGACTTCGGCTTGCCGAATAAAGCTCTTTTTACATGTGTTTTGCCTAGTTTTTGTATTTTTGTATTTTACTCTTGCTGTTGCTGGGCACGTGTATGGTCCGTGTCATATACATACCAACATGTAACTATATAATTATTTATATATATACATATATATATATTTATGTATATAATTTATTAATAATTGCCTTTTAGTCTTGGCATCAAGTGAAACAAAAGAGAACCGTGTGTGCCGGCCGCTTAATTAATGGCCATTTCTGGCTTGAGTTCTGGCAAAGCTTAGCCAATATGTCCGTTAGATGGGCAGAACTTTTGCCAGACTCCTGCCGAGCAAGTGGCAAGCGGGCCAGGTGTGAGTCGGCGTCTGCATGCGTGTGCTGACAGCTGTAGTCGTGCCTCTGATTGTGGCAGGTCCTGCCCATGCGTCTGCCGCAAGCAATAAATACTTAATAAATAAATAAGTTAGTGCAGTTGGTCAGACCGGATGGGCTACCTTAACGACAGTCGGTATGCCTCGTTCACCGTCTTGGCCATTTATGTAAGTGGGGCATTATGCATGTTTATTTGAATTTGAATTGCCTGGGAATTCGCACAAGTGGTTCAGGTAAAAACTGGGTCGTTTAGGCCAAAGTGCTGCGGTCCAAGGACCCAGCTCTCGATAGCTGGAAGCGATCTTCCAGTGCGTGTGCGTGTGTGCGTTCATCCGTGTTGCCGGTTACAGGTGCACGCGAGCTGGCCGTGATCTGATTACAATTCCAAGAAGGTTTCATCTGTATGTATCGCAACCAAAAAATTCGAGCACTAGATGATTCCCTCGCCAGCCATTGCTGGCATTGCGTTCGCCTCCGCCTCCGCCTGCCCACGCCTTCGCCCCTGTCACAGCCATTGCTGCTGCTGTTGCCTGTGTTTGTTTGCATGCGGTGGCTGTACTCATTACGTGTAATAACTGTGGTAATTGTCACGTAGACCATCCGGTCAACAACTACAACTGCTAAGGACACTTGGCCAGCTGACGTAATGTGCTCAGATAAAGGCAGCGGCAAATGGCGCATTGCAATTGTGACAAATCGAGGGACGAGTGTGCTAATGGAATATGCCACGAGTCACAGCAGCTACCATTCACGGCCCTAAGTCGTAACCATGGCCTAAAGCACAAGCCATGGCCCTGGATTAATAAGGTCCCCACACACACAATGTATGCTTCTAGCATTTTCCATTAATAAACAACCAACTTTTATTGAATGCCCAAAACATGACGTGGATAAAGGATGTTGCAATCTATAGTCGCCTCGAATTATTTGTTTTCTGTGTGTGCTATAAATATTTTGATCAAATAGTTGCATTTCATTTAATAGATGATTTAACTTGCTGAACAAAGTAAACAATGTTGCAATCATATTCAAACGTTGCGCAATTATTTCTGCACACTGTGGAAAATTAAGGATTTTCTGGATGTAGGTATGTTCGTGAATTTAAATACGTTTGTAAGCTTAAAGCATAACGCCCCTCTAGGCGATTCTCATGAATTCAAGTAAACCCATCAGGATTTCATGCTTTGATTTGCAAGTGTTATTTTAACAAGCCGATCTTGCAAACCAATAATCTTTATTTGTATATATATTTGCATATACATGCATATATATGTGCGTATGCATAAATACGTGCATGTATGTGTGTGCGTGTCTGTGCACTTTCCCGTTGCGCTGCAAAATATGCCATTTATGCAATTCTCATGAATTCAAAAAAGACTTACAGTTTTTCATGATTTTTCTTTGAAGTGTTACATAAATATTGTGTTGGCAAACGAATAGGTTTCACTCCAACCCGTTCTCTACTCTACTTCATTTGTGTTTTTATTTTATATGTAGATGTGAAAGTCTGACTACCACCCACTATAGTTGCTAATATCATAGCAGAGCGTGTGCATGTGAATTTCTGGGGTAAGTACATGTTTACCGTAAATTTGCATATTTATAAGAATATAGATAGTAAGGTTAATCAAGTTGGCCTTTAAAATAAAAAACTACGCGAAGCTGCAGATCATAAGGTAAAAATTAAATTAACTATATCTACTAAACGTTCTCAATGAATATTTAATATTCCTTTGTAATTATTTGTTGTTTGTGCGTTTTAATTTATCATCTGTAATTATGTAGATAAGAGTACTCGCCCACTAGATGCCTAGTTATTGAAAACAGAATGCGTTCGTCATGTTATTCTTTGTCTCCATCAACATAACCAATGAGCCAATATGTGGCATCCAATCCTTTTGGTGTCTTAATAGTAATTGCAGCTCCAACCACAAATCAGCAAAGAGCAGCTGCATGCGCAGCTGGTCAAGCGGTAATTGATTTCTGTTGACCACAATATTCCACATACACACGCACAGACGCACACACATACGCAAACACCCACAACCAAGCAGCCTGAGGACGAGGCATGTACTTATGCGAGCGTCAGACTTCATGTCCTTAGCCATATCCTGTATCATTGCCGTAATTTATGGAGCTGGCGTTGCCCTTGTCCCGGGCAGCGTGGAGCTGTCAAAGCGTCTTAGTGCTTAATGGTTTATGTGGCAACCAGCAGCTAGCACAGCACAGGAGCTGGAAATTTGCACTGAATTTACGCGCTGGCCATTAACTTCGAATGGGCAATCAATTCCAAGCATTCGCACTACTTATTCGTGTATAATATACTAATTTATTCACTGCGAATACGCTCAACTAGCGCCTGATTAAATGTTCAAAAAATGTCTGTTTCTAATTAAGGCTTCAGTTTGTTTTGTTTTATTTTGAGCCCGCCTAAAAGTATGCTCCGATATTTCCCTTCCATTTAATATTGTTTTTTGCTTTTGGCATTTACATAAAACATTTATTGCTATTTTACATATGAAGCGCATAATTTGCATTTCTTAAGTTCGTTGAGGTGTACAGAAGTGAAAAATATTGAAATTTCTGTTTTTTACACATACGCACACATATATTGAGCACATATGTTTATATTATATAGATAATATTTATTTTGTTTTTATTATTTAAACTATCTTTTATGTGTACATAAATTATTTGATTTAAAGTACTCTGCTTAAATCCGAACAGAACTAACAATTGTTTGTTTTTTTTTTTTTCAAATATTTATTTTATTTTTAAATTCATTGTTGGCGACAATAGAAATGTACATCTAATGCTCTAGTCCCATTTGTAATACTCATGAATAATCCAATGAGCTGAAACTCGGACCTGTTTGTGTAGCACAAAGTGAACAGGTTCTAGTTAAGTAATTCAATTATATGATTCTGGCTAATTTCTTGCTTGGTAGCTACGACAAAATGTCAAATTCTAAGTAATTATGTATGAAGTTGACAAATAGTTTAACGGACGGTTTTAAACACGCCTTGTGTGGATTTTGCCTTGGCATTTAACACTTCTCACCAATCACCACTCACCACTTGGCATGTTTTGTAAAATATGTAGATAGTATATATTTGTAAGAAATCAAATTTCATGCGTGCCAAGTTTCAAGGTTCTTTCTCAGTTAGTCTTGCTGCTTTTCGCTTTTCGCAGTTAAAATACATTTAAATATAGTTTGTAATACTTTCAATAGAAATGCAAAACAGCATCTATCATTTTAACTTTCTTTCTTTTTTTTTTGTGGTTAGTACCTGGTAAACAGTATGAGAGATTCTCGATTCTCCAAATGCATGGTATAGTTACAATTCAAAGGAGTTGCAGTTGAATGTTTCTCTTGCCACGCCTCTTTGCTTATACTCTATATAAATATGATTTTTAAATACTTTTTTTGTGTTTTTTTCATTTTAGTTAATCTTATTCTTGATTGCTTGCACATTTAAACATCTATATAAAAAAAATTACATTTGTATAAACACTGAAACGCAGACCGCGAATTGCAGGCCAAGACAAGTCTAACAATTTACATTTAACAATTAGATTCACAATAAAAGTACAATGCAACAGCTCAGAAGTGATAGATGATTATTATAAATAGATATATTTGTATATATAATTATATATTTTAAAGGGTTGCTCTACTTATGCAGCAACTGATGCCATAGAAACCCGAACATAATATTAGTTTTATCCATACCAAACACAACTTACTTTTAGTAGAATCGTTGACAACCACAGTTTCAATTTCTTGCACATCACATACTTATTTTAGAGTGACTCCGTTTCCATCAGACCCTCATTCCTGCCCCTGATTTTGACTGTGTCCCTGTCCCTCTCCCTGTCCCTGTCCTTATCCCTGTCCAGCTTCCGCGTCAGTGTGCGCGGCCTCTGATGCTGACGTCGGCTGCCTCAGAGGCGCGGACTCTCCAGTATGGTGTGGCTGGACATGGCCGAATTGGCCAGCGCAATCGAGTTGCCAGCGACCGATAGGTTCGTCTCATTCTTGGAACGGCGTCGACAAAATCCAAAGCGTCCGCCATCGCACAGTCGCATGCCCTTGAAGGTGTCCACAAAGGCACGCCGGAAGCTCGCATTCATGAAGCAATAGGTGATCGGATTACAACAGCTGGACGAGTAGGCCAGCAGCTGCAAGAAGCTTATGGCCGTATAATCCACATACTCATACACCACGGGCCCAATCAGCATAGTCATCGTATTGATCACGTACAGCGGCGTCCAGCAGATGAAGAACTCCAGCACCAGCACAAACAGCATCTTTACCACCCGCTTCTTGCTCTCCAAGCTCTTGGTCTCGTTGGATCTGCACGCGACAATATATATGGAAATCTTTGATGCTGCAATGGTGCTCATAGGGCTGTGAGGCCAGCTCTACTTACCTGCGCAGTGTTGCCTCCGTGATACGCAAACTGGGCGTGGACAACGACTTGCGCCGCTCTCCATCGTTGCCCGCGGTCATGTTGAGCTGCTGCTGCCGCATTCGCTGCATTCGGGCACAGCAGTCTCCAGATCCGCCAAGGTGCTGCTGCTGTTGTTGCTGTTGCCGCAGCGACTTGACCGAGGCACTGCGCATGCAGTAAAGATGCCGCCGGCCATCGCAGGAGCCGAACAAGCGGCGCTTGCTGCCGCCTTGTGTGTAGCCTTCCGCTGCAAGAGAATGGGCGAAAGAGAGAGAGAGAAAGAGAGAGAACATATCAGAGTCAACCGCATGAAATTTCCAATGATAGAAGTGATAGCAGCCCTTCCTTTGCCGGGGATACATGAATATTTAATATATATTTGTTACATAACAAATTAAGTTTTAAATTGGTCGACCCGAGGTCTATGTTGGTCCCCGCTTGCCTGGAATCGGCAGCAAACACTGCTGAGTATAGAAACTGAAAGTTCACCTGCTCACTTTTGGTGATTGAGCCCTGTTGTTGATTATTTTAAACAAAATTGAGCTCGAGTCGGCCATCCTTAACTTTAGTTTACACTAAACTTATATATGTATATTTTCTCTCACTTTGTGTACAGAGTATAAAATATATAGATAGGGCTGAGTGTACGAAAGGCTTTATTTTACTTGATTCGGAGCATAGAGAGGCACCAAAGACAAACAATGGCAAAGATTAAACGCGTTCGATTGAGCGTATACCTAATAAATCATTGTTTCTGACATCATTGGCTGGGAGCTGTTCGATACATCAGCACATATTGTATATGTTATATGGAGAATATTGCCAGTATCTATATGAACAACAGATGGAAGAGAATATGCACGTTTTTGTTTACATTTGTCGAAGGGAAGACTTACAGCTACATAAATGTAAGCATGATTCCACGATTTTTCCAATTTAATTTTGTTGTGGCTTACTTGATTCGACTGTTAATAATCGCAAGCTAAAAGCTTGCATGTTTGCTAATGGAACAACATATTTGCATACACAACAGCCGGAATGTTTTTATTGAGAGTGCCCCGACCAGCATATATATTAAATACAAACGTATGACGGCCTTTTTGTGAGTATGTGTATTTTTATACCCTGAACCCATTAAAAATGGGTATAAGGGTATATTGTATTTGTGCGAAATCCAAATGTATGTAACAGGCAGAAGGAAGCATCTCCGACCCCATAAAGTATATATATTCTTGATCAGCATCAATAGCCGAGTTGATCTAGCCATGTCCGTCTGTCTGTCCGTCCGTCCGTCCGTCCCTCCGTCCGTCCGTATGTATGAACGCAAGGATCTCAGAACCTATAAGAGCTAGAGACTTGAAATTTTAGATGTAGATGCTCCTAGTTCCCGCGCAAATCGCAATCGATAAGAATCAATATCGATATCCTGTTTTTTGAGCAATTTTGGTAAATAATAAGTCACCAAACTTGACATATAGCTTCTAAAATAGAATATATATATGAATTTGATGTTGGAAGAAGAGGGTTCAGGGTATCCCCTAGTCGGGAGCTCCCGACTAGAACCTATTATTTGTTATGTATGTATGTGTGCATGTACGTACGTTCGTATGTATGTGTATATGCTTGTATGTATGTATGTATAAATGCTTGTACGTATGTATGTATATATGCTTGTATCTTTTCTTCCAGATGCGCCACAAATTCAATATAACGTATTTTTAAATAATGCCCTACTATGCGATTCTCATAAATTCATGTAAGGTCTAAAGATCTTCATATTATTTTGATAATTGTTACATTAAAAATATGTGCTGTAAGTCAAGTAAAGTTCAACTCGTTCATACATTCGCAATCTAATTTACTCTTTAGCACTCCTTTCTTTCTCTCTCTCTCTCTCTCTCTTTCTCTCTTTGCCCCTCTCTTTCCCCAACTTTTTCTCTCTCTCTCTATCTCATTTACTTTAACCTGTCTATTTATCTTTTTCACTTGTATTTTTTTTATGTCTATATATGAAAGTTTTTCGTGCACCCACTAATAGAGGGCAATACATGTGCGTGTGTGCGATTGTTTTGGGTAGGAACATATTTGCATATATATTTATATATACATAGGTTAAAGCATTTTAGACGGGGTGCAACTTTGTTGTTTTGTTGCGCGTGTGGAAGGCATCAGTTTTAATAGCGAGCGGAATGGCATTAAAGCTGGCTTATGTAAATCACAATATAACCAATTTAAGCAACTGACTGACAGCTGGCGCTAATCAGCCACAGTCGGACGATGGGCATTAGAGTGTTTCCGAATGGCAGTCGGACAAGCAGCCGCTGGAGGAATATCGTGGACGATGTTGCTGTTGCTGCTGATTCCCCTTAATTGGCTGCTTGGCGTGGGAGGGCCTTGGGGCTGGCAACATGGTGCACTCTGCACTGGATATCGACAAGCCTGTTGGCGTGGGATTAGCTGCTGTGTGCGGACAATGCAAAACCCACTCGCAGGTCACCCACAATCCGCTGGCGGCAACGACGCGTCGAGCTACCTGACCCTATTTACGCTGCAACGGTTACGATATATTTCCCCAATCCGCCTTCAACTGCAGCAGTTCGCGGCTCGAAACCCTTCGAGGCTGAAGAGCTGCCCAGGCGCCACACGTTGCAGGTGGCGGCCTCATCTGTTTTTTGCCTGGATGCACAATGCCTCTAGCTGGGCAGGCAAGTGGCCAACCGCAAACAGCTGGAACCTTTGTTTGCGCTTCGGACATCAACGGGTGCCATTATGTGAAATATGTAGATGTACATCGAATTTCGATTGCTTTAAATATTTTTGGCCAATTTGATGCTATTTTTCATTAAATTTCTTGAATATGAACAGCTGGCCTTGACAATAGCTGAAACTGAGAACTGTCGAAAAAGTTGGAAAATATGTTTAACTGGCGCTTTTGTCTTCAAATCTTGCTATTTATTTTAATTGTGTTCTGGGGTAAGTGAGATCACGCCCACTTGCGGCTATATTGAGTACCAAGCGTTCGCTGTTTGCAGCTGGTATTTGCATTAAGCTGTCGTATGATGTTCTAAAGAAGCATCCAGGTGAGCATCGTAAAGGAACAGACCGAACTGAGTTGGGTAAGTTCGGCCGGCCAGACTGCCCCATTTGGCTCTAACCTTTGCCCAAGGTCAGCAACTGTATCCATACGATTTGATGGGCGGCCGAGCGTCTGCTCTGCGCCAGCGCAACGCACTCTTGCGCCGCGAGGGCGTATTCGACAATGGCTACAGCAGCCGCCTGGTGGATCTGGTCTATCGCACCGCCATGAAGAGCACCAACGACCGCAGGCGGCAGGTCGAGTTTGAGCAGAGTGTGGCAGCCGCACGACAGATTATCGAACTGGCCGGCGCGGCGGCAGACGCCGAACGCATGGCCCACATTCGCCTGGTCAGCGGCGAAGACTCGGTGCCCATCAATGCGCGGGGAGCCATAGATGCGGCAGGTGAGAATCAGCAACTGATTTTACCCAAGCAACATTAATAGGAAAATTGCAGAGCTCGTCGCCGCTGATGACTACAACCTGGCGCATTATACGAGACAAAAGTCAAAAAAGACGTGAACAGACGTCGTTACTAAGTCTTGATTTAAGGAGTTGGCAATTCCACTAACATATTGAATATTGAATTTGATATGTATATATATAATATATTATCGTTAAAATATTCTTTTTGACCCAAGCCTTTGTAAGCTGTGCGGCGGAGTTTGCAGCTGCAACCAATTGCTGGTTAGGGTCATAGATATTCCGTTTTCTTATTCCTTGACTTCCAAGAGATGTACCTAAATAACTTTCTTTTTAAATTTTCAGTGAAATTCTTTAAGTCGAATTATCTCTGTATTAAGGAATAATTTTGGCATTTCGAATGAATAAAATAATATTTGCGCTGCCAAAACATGGGCGTTTGTCGTTGTTCTAATTAGAATACGACAAAAATTACACTTTTTAATTCATATGAATATTAACATAACGCACGTTACTTAGAAATATGTAAAATGAAATGTCCTGAAAGTGCCAAAGTTTGAATACCCTTGTTTACGCGTGTCTTTACATAAATATACTAAAAAATAGACTGTAAAAATAATTAAAGTGGTTGTACCCAATAAAATAGACACATATAGTTAAGCCTTCTGATCCATTATATTGAAAGCAGAGGTAAGATATTGCCATGGCCAAAACATAAGAGCGTGATATGCGAACACGTGCCTATTGCATGAGTTCAGTGGCCTGATCAAGCACAAAAGCCTGCTGCCTGCACAGCTCGTGACCGAATTGCGATACCCCATGCGAGGCTTTAATGACAACAGGGCTTGCAGCGAATATTACGAGTTTAGGGCTCTAATTATATTTAACTTGGTTAGGGAAATTGCCAGCGAGAGCGCCGAGCGCCGCGCATTGCGTTGAGTGTAATAAAACATTTTCGCCCATTTCCCCGAGCGGGGCATGGCACGGCGAGCCGCCTGACTAACTACCAGCTCTAGTGGGTTGGCTGGGAGTGCGCCTGGCAATTTATGAGACAAAAATGTTAAGTGCCGGCCGTAAATTGCATAGGTTTTAAAAATTTAATAAAATTTATCATCAACATTGGAGCATTTGAGCGTGTCTCTGGTTTTTTTTCCTAGCTTTTTAGCTGTTTGTGGCAATGTGGTGTGTGCGTGTGCGGAATGTGGCATGTGTAAATGGTGACACCATTTGCGGAGGGGACCTGATCTGGTCTCACTAATTTGTGCGTGGCCCTTTTAGGTCGATAAACGAGATAAGGACATTTAACGAGCGTTTAAATGCTCGACCCGCAAGCATAATTTATGGTATTTAATTTGACACTTTCGCTGTGCATAACCGCTTCTAATGCAAAGCGGATGTGAAGCGGCACTTAGCCTGCCAGCTGGTACAGCAAAAAAAGGAATGCTGGTGAAAATAAGCCGAGTATCCTTTATGGCAGCACCCTGTGATAATTCATTCTCTGCGTTGAGCTTTGCATTTAAAAGCTCTCGGTAAAAGCGCAAGTCTATGCTAATATGCAAGTTCTGTTTGCCTGTTTGCCCGTTTGAGCCGCTTTCAAGCAAATCCGAGTGGATGGGCGTTATGGCGGCAGGGCTGCCAAGTGAACTGGTTTTCTTATATATTTTTGGTTTGCGGGTCACAGCAAATGGGTAAATGTATACTTTTAGGCACCCGCAGAAAACTAAAAACGTCTCATTTGACTCGCTGCTGTAACTTAACCCATCTGGAACAGGCTCTAATTAACGCAAATGGATAAACGGACTGCCGCAGGGCCGTGCAACCGACTTGGGCCAGCCTGACCTCGCTTAACCCCAATGTGGCAATAATGAAAACTTCTATTTATGACCTTCTTTAAGCAGTTCCAACGCCATAATTGATTGACAGCGGAAAGGCAGTGTGGCTTGACTTTGCTCTAAATAGCAGCAAAAGTGCAAATATAGCCAAACTGGAAAATAGTCAGGCCATATTGGTTAAGTTTAGCTGCGGCACGTTTTATAAGTAGTTAAAGCAGGGCTCGCGCGTCGAGGCGAATGCGAATGCGAATGAAAGGCCATTTGTGCGGTTCAGTTGAATTTATCAAATGCTCGAAATCAAATGGAATCGAACGGCAGCGATTTATCGTCACATGCCGTCCTATGCGGCGTATGCGTAACGCGGTTAGTTGGGCCCTCATCTCGTTAGACCCGGCAGAGCTGTTGCTGTTGGGCTGTTGCAAGCTGGATCAAGCAGGCTGCCGCACTGAAACATATTTTTCGCGTGGATGACTTTGCCATGCAAATTGTGTGTGGGCGAAATGGAACAGCGGGCAACAGCAAAGAGCAGGGCAAGGGCAAGGGCAAGGGCAAGGGGAACGTAAGCACAAAATGTTTGCAAATTCAAGCAATTGAAGCTGTCGTCGTCTGATTTTTAGCCTACGCAAAGACTGTGTCTATACAGCAAATTTCTTTTCCTGGTACACTTATTGAAAGAGTTTTCCTTGAGAGATGGAAAGATGGAGCAAAAGGGATAAATTTAAAGTCGGAAAATGTTTAAGCTTGAATATAGAACCCAACCCAACGACAGTTTTTTTTTTGGGGAACCAAAACTCGAATACTGAATAATTGAAAGATCTTTATAGACACAGATGCGATAAAAATACTATTATCTAATATTATTTCTTACCTGATATTTTACATAGTTAAAAAAGTTTGTTTTTTCTAAAAACTATGCTTGGCCTAATCCTACAAATGTTATTACGAGACCTCTATAAAATCGCTTGCAGGGCGGGACTATTTGTTTCTGCCTGATAACCAAATCATTTAATGTAATGTCTTGCATTTGTGGAAAAGAAACATAGCCCGAGCAAGGCCGGATAATGTTCGCTTATGCTGCGCCTACTTACCGTAATAGTACTGCGGTGGTCCGCTTGCTTTCTGCTGCTGAAGGAGCATATCCAGCTTGGCGCTGCCATCGATGGCCAGCGCCTCCTGGCGCATCTGCATGCGCATCAAGTAGTTGGAGTTGCCGTAGGTGCGCCGGATGCCGGTGCAGCTGCTGTTGTTGTTGCTGCTGCTGCTGTTGGTGGTGAGGCCGACGTCGGGGCCGCTGCTGCCAAAGTTCATGGCACGCTCGTTGCGCATGCTCACATAGAGAGTCCGCGTGATAAACAGATAGGCAAAGCTGAGCGCCATTAGCGGTAGCACGAGTAGCGCCAGATTGAGAAATATGTTGTACGCCCGCTCATAGCCCAAAGAGTTGGCCGGCCACTGTTCCCGGCATTTGCGCAACCCTATATATCGGAATGGTTAACACAAGGACTTTGGCTGGTTGACTTTAGCCTGGCGATTGGTCTACTCACCCTGACGACTGGTCGGCATTAGCTGGCTAAATATCGCGATTGGTGTCATGCAGACCAGACTGCCCAGCCAGATGAAGGCGATGATCTTGTTGGCATGATTGATGGTCTGCCAGGTGCGAGATCTTAGCGGATGGCAAATGGCATAGTAGCGCTCGCAGGATATGGCCACCAAGGTCCAAGAGGAAACTGCCACCGAAGCGGCTGCAAATAATCAATGTCAAAATCGAAAGATAGGCAATAGCTGATATTATCGATAGTGCGGATATCTAATAAATACATACATTTTAATATATTCAAATTGCATAATTTATTCCTTAGGATCAGAGAATGTGGTCATGTTTATTTAGAGAGCTTAAGTCGAGTGGTCCCACTGATGACTGATAATATCGATAAAACGAAGAGTATATTTTAAAATATATTCATAAGTCTTAACCTTATTCATTAAGATGACTAATGCTATTTCAGTTAATCAAAATGGGCAGCGTATTAATGGGTTGCATGTTGGAAATCCAACTAATGCAGCTCGGCGCCATAATATTGATAGACAATAGCTGGTGATATCACTTATGGATAGTACCACTAACTATACAATGCATAGTACTATTTACATATAACAGATAAATTTATTAAAAAACCCAAAGAAATTTGCCATTGGATAGCCTGATCAGATAGAGATATAAATAAGAGTACAGTATATTAAAATCGACATGGGCGAAAGCTATCAATGACGGCAGCTGCCGAACGACTAAACAACTTTTGATTGCTTTCAAAATCGATGCTCTTCTTATTATGATCGATGACTCCCGAATGTTTTGGTGTTCAAATAAAGCCTCTAAGATGGTATTTAACATGCCATCGATTCGGGCATCACAAGTTGCATAGTAGAAAGGCACTCATTACATGAGACGCATCATTAAAATGCTAATTTATGCCGACTTTGGGTACGGTTGCGGTTTCGGTTATACTTATCGATTCGTTTGTCAGTGCGTGGCATAACAAATGCAAACCATTTCGGCCAGGACAACGATAATGATAATGGCCAAATGGTGGCCAACGTTAACTTTATTTACATGTCAGTCGCCTGCAGACGGCATTCCACCTGCGGCGCCACATAATGAAGTCAACCCACCTCTGCCAGATATGCATCATTCATCATAGCTCTCTGCACTCGTATTACCAATGGTAGTTGTAGTACTCAATTTGGGCCAAATTCCAAATGCCAAATGCTGCTGCTGATGATGATGATGATGCGCGGCTGCCAGTTAAGGGGCAGAGGCCTGCTGCCTCTCTGCTTCTGTTGACTTACGTGGAGGCAAAAGAAAAGAACCAAAATTAGGCTTTGTGTTTCCATCAAAAGCCGTTTCCCATATTCCCGTTCACTTTTCCGAATCCGCTGGCATGCAGATAGAAAGCAAACAGTGACACCGACACGCAAGCATTAAGGCCCACGAATGTGTGTGGGCCATCAGAGACGTTGGGCTTGAGGATGGGCATTGGGGAATGGGACTTGTTGGATTTTGGGGCTGCAAAGTTGAAACTGCTTTTGGTTCTCAGTGGGCGTGCGAGTGTGTTTGTCTGTGTGTGGATGTCTGTTTGTGTGTTTTTGTTGTTGTTGTTGTGTTAGCAACAACCCATTAGCTGAGCGTGAGCCAAATTGTTAAACAAGCCAAGCTCATTAACAATGAAACAAAATTAAATTTAGCTCCGCCGCATCGCCGCAGCGCCGCATCTGACCACGGCCATGGTTCAATGAGTCCACCCGCAAATAAACATGCAAATTTTATGGAAATGCTAAATATAGGAAAATTGGACTGTGACAGATCCCATCCCAGGCCGACTTAGAATCTAGCTGGCTGAATACACAATAGCAGCGTACACGCCAATCCCATAGGCAATTCTTTGAAAAAGCACTTGACTAAATATGTTGAAAATGCTGAAAATGTTGAAAATGTTGAAAATGCTTAAAATCAACTGGGCCCCACAGATTATCAAAATGTAAATAAAATTTCAAGCAATTGTGTTTTATGTCGCGCACGTCGCACAATTTTCAGATATTATTGTTTTGCCCCAGCCCCTGCAGCCAACGTTATTGGAATGCAAAATCTGTGTAGTTTCCAGTGTGAAAGGTCGTTAAGGGACTGGAGCAAGGTGTTGAATCTCGGTAACAGCTTTAAATTGCTTGAAATCACGCCACGGCATTATAGACTGAACTCATTGAAAGTGTGTAAAAAGGGTATATTGGTTTTGTGCACCTGTGTGTAACAGGCAAAGGGAAGCATCTCCGGAACCCATAAGGTGTATACTATATATATATATAGACTTGAAATCGATAAGAGTCGAAATCGAAATAATACCCTCTCAAAATTGGACAGCTAGCTAGCTTCTTGCATAGTATTTAAGACCAAGTTTATTTAATTTTTTGAACACTTATCCCCACTAGAGCAACCCCCCTTGACTCACTTGCATCTAGTGGAAGTGCTCAATCAGTCGAAAGGGACTAAAAATCATTTACTTATTCCCATTCATTTAAAATGCATTTTACTAACCGAAGTTAGCTTTCTTGAGCTTGAATGGAATCTTCTTAAATTTCAGTCACAATTTTGCACATTAAATATAAATTCTGAATTGTTAAAGCGATTACAAGCAACTGCCCGGGCCTAAAGGGCTTTAAATTGGCTTATGCTGAATGCATATTTTCATATTCAATAGGCTTTTTCAATTGGGCAATCGCCAATTTGGGCCAATTTGCTAAGCATGCTTATGGCCAATCGCATTGATGCGGGCTATTTAATTTCGAATTCGTTAAGCTTTGCTTTATCCGCATATTCGAACACGCAAACTTATTAAACGTAGCGTATATGTAGATTTCGTATCAAATTCATTTCTATTTAATTTAATTACTTATTATTAAACATCTTGTGCAAATAAATATTTGACAGCTCCTTCTACTATTCGAACTACTTTTACTTTATATTCTTTTGTTATTATTTCTTTGTTTTCATAAATATTGTATCAGAGGCCCGAGTCGCAAGTCAAGTTCTGATGGGACCATTTGACCCAGAGGGGTTTTAGTTAAACGTAGAAAATATGATTGTTTGAAAATATAAAAATTGGTTTGTTGGTTGTTAAATTCGGCTTATTTTGTGAAGTCGACAGCAAACTTGTCCCCATTAGGCGACTGTCCGGGCATTAAATAGGATTTACAGTATACCTCTTGCACAGGCATAGTGTCCTCTCTTTTGCTGCTGTTTTGCTGTTGTTGCTGTTGTTTTGCTGCTCTTTGGCAAGCAAGCAACAGGGATTGAAATTTGGACTCAAATACAGGCTCATTGAATTGTAAATTTGCCAAAATGGGCTTGTATGTGGGCAGCGCCTGTGGCAGGTAATGCCTATGCAGCTATCTCATTTCTCAATTCCCATTTCGCTAGCTTGACATGCGTTGCATGCTACACGCCCAGAAGCCCCAAAGCCCAAACACCCAAACGCCCAAACGCCTGGCCGCCCACGCACGGCATACGCCCATGCACTCGGAGCTTTCTATTGCAGTTCTGGCCATTTTATTCCGATTCGTTTCATTTCGTGGGGCTGCTGATTATACATTTTGTCATTTGCATGATTTATTCAGTGGACTGGGACAGCTGAACACGTTTGACATTTAATTACAAACCGCATTCTCTACTACACACGAGCTTCATTTGGGCACTATTGTTAAATACGCCGCCGCTGTGAGCACAAATATGAGTCAAGAAAATTATTTTGGATACACAAAAAGTTAATACATTCATTTAAGGATACTAACCTACCAAAAAAAAAAAGTGTTTTTCAAAATGAGCAGTGTGCTTTTCAAAATAACACGATTTTTATACCAGTTCGTGAGTCCGTCATTTAGGCAACAGATCAATCAAGACGACGCGCGTCTAGAGGTAGGGTATGGATGCAGCAGTTTCTTAAACCGACGGCCACATATATATATAAAGATATATCTATAATAATTAAAGTAATATACCAATATGTGCTTGTTATATGTCGTGTATGTCTAGTATTTAGAAAAAAAGGCAGATTTTCTTGTCCAGACCAGATTGCTTGGCTTACTCTATGATTGATGATCCACATCAAAGTTCTAGTCAAATGCATTTTTGCTACGCTAAAAGTCACATTTGAAGCCACACACAAGAGTTGGATTGTTGTGGCATTAAGTATATATTAGGACACGCCTTGCTAGCAGCCCCTTTCCAAAAATATAACCAAGAAGACATAAAAGTAACCATTTATACAAGAAGGGTATTTAGGAAGGATCTCTTCCCCGCAGAGCAATCAACCGAAAAGTGTAAACTCTTTCATTTTAGTGCTTGAATATATGTTGCTGTTGGTGCCCTTTGACGTATTGTTCAGTTGGCTTTCAAAGGGAAAAATTGCTAGTTGTACAGAGAAAGTAATTTACTTTCACTTCGAGCATTATGTTAATTGTTTTACCAGAGTTAAATGCATTTAGCACTAACAAAAGTGAGCCAATAGCTTTGCAGCATAAATTCAAGGCACTCCACAAACGGATGCCCCTTGCCCATGCCCCAAGGCAAAGTCGTACCAATTTGCTGCTTAATTAATTCATATGAAGCCAGACGCCCAAAAACTCTGAACGTGTTTTTGTGTTTGGCCCAACAGCTACCGAGTTTTTTCCGGTTACCAGGAACCACAGCTAATTTGCATGCAACAACGCCCACATGCCCAATCCCACAGGTGTGGCTGCGCCCCTCGATCAATGAATGTTATAAGGGTGGAGTTGGGGCTTGGGAAACATTTAGACCGCCTCTGCAGCACAGAACTTCGCTGTAGATGCAGCCAACAATAAAGTAAATAAATAAAAGTCTGAAAAACTAAAGAAAACTTTTATCAGGAATCAGTCAATAAGACAGACCCAGCGCAAGTTGCAACATTAAATATGGTTAACTCAACTTTGGCCGAGTTGCATTTACAACTTGGCGTACAAGTTGTAAAGTCAGAAACGTACATCAAAAGTAAATTAAATGTTGGTTCACCTAGTCGACACCGCACCAACCTTTACCTGTCCTGCCCTGTCAACTTTAACTTCTAATGTCTGACCAGTCTCTGCTCGGGTGATACGTTGATACTTTCAATGTGCTGTGATTGACTAATTCCCAGATCCCACATTTTCATTATGTTGACCGGCTATGAATTTGTGT